CACCCATTGGATGAGAAGCTCCCTAAGGGCAGGGCCTGGTCAAGTTCCGCGCTCCCTCCCAGGACCTGACACAGTAGGGTCACATTTGTGGCTGGCTGCAGATGAGAGCTGCAATAAGGTCATCTGGCTAGGAGGCAATTAGTGGATGTCCATGGAGAGGAGAGGTGGTGGGCAGAAACCAGGCTGCAAGGGGTACACGCAAGGGAGGGGATGAAGCAGACACCAGGAGTACCAAAAAGTTTGAGAGTTGAGAAGGGAAAAAATGGGTGGGCCAACAGTGTAAGGGAAAGCCAAGGCAAGGGAAGGAGTTTTTTCTTTATTTGTCTGTTTTTAGGCTGCAGAGACTTGATCACATTTGGAGGTTGAGAGGAAGAAGCTAAAGGTGGGTGGGTGGAGGGGGGGAGTTGAAGGGCAGCAGATGTGGGAACACTGCAGGTAGAACACAGGACGTAAGTGGTCTCTTAGGACGATTAAATCCACCAGAAGGGCTGAAGATGGTGTGGAGAGGAGGCTGGAGGCAGGGAGGTGAGTTAGAAGGGGATAACCAATCAGGAAGTGAGAAGAATTTGAGTCAAGCCTTAACCCAGGGCTCCCTAAGGCTTCAAAGTTGAGAGGGGTCTCAGAAAGGTTATGTCCAGAGCCTGCTCTTGGTAAGGTCAATGTTGCCCAGTGCCCCACAGAGACCCCCACCCAGTCATCACCATCCTTTGCAGAGATTGGCACCTCTTTTCCTCATCCACATCACGTGGCTTCTCTTCTCTAGTAGCTCTGTGGTTCACCACGCCCCCTTCCATCTCCCCATGGTGGGCAGAATTGGCGGGTGGTAGTCCAGGTCCACAATCGGCATGCAATGGCGTGCTGATAAATGTTTAACAACAAGCCGGGGCGTGGATAGTCCTGGTTTATACTGTTTGCCAATTTCCATGATGTAAGTTCCCCCATCATGTCCAATTTCAAGCTAGGAACATGAAATTGTTACTAATCACAGAGGAGGGAGAGAGCTCCAGCACACCACTGCCTGTATCCATTCCCTCTCCTGCCTTCCTCGCCACGCCTCCCCCCCCACNATCCATTCCCTCTCCTGCCTTCCTCGCCACGCCTCCCACCACCACCACCACACACACACACACACATAAACTCTGGACCCTGCGACAGCAATGGGCAGATCCAAGCCAGAGAGGGCAGTGACAGTACTATAGCTGCAGCCTCAAGGAGGCCCCTGATGGGGAAAGTGAAATACCTCTCTTTCAGAAACATCTACCTCCAGCCCCCAGTCATCTTTGATCTCAGCCTCACATCTTCATTCTTCTCAAGTGTAACTTCAGGATCTCACAGGAATTTGGGGCCTGAGGTCGACAGACACTCAGATGATTCACTAGCCACTTTCTCACTAAACATGGCTAAACACCATGAACTATTCTAAGATAATAAAAACCAGAACATAATTTTCTTCCTCCCAAAGCAAACAGAAAAGGAAAAATGATCCAAGGAGAGCATTCTTGTACTGATGCACAAAATTCACTCACTCTTCATCATTCTTCTACATAACTGATGAGTAATTTGGCTCCTTGAAGCCCAAAACCCCTTTGTAGGGTCCTACATGCAGGAGAGCAGAGGCCCTGTGGTCACGTCTGGTTTGAATCCCAGGTCTTCTATGATAGCACAGTGACCTTTGGCAAATTACGTCTCTCTGAGCCTCAGTTTGCTCATCTGTGAAATGGGGATTATAATAACAGTACATACTCTATGGGGTTAGACTGCAAGAGTTCTCCACTAGGAGCAACTTTTCCCCCTTGGGGATAGTTGGCAATGTCTGGAGACATTTTTTGTTGTCACAACTGGGTTTGGGGGGGTGATGTTACTAGCATCTAGAAGGCAGAGGTCAGGAATGCTCTTAAATATCCTACAATGTATATGACAGCCTCCGACAACAAAGAATTATCCAATCCAAAATGTCAATAGTGCCAGGTTGGGAAACCCTGGACTAGAGTGAATATTCAGTGAGGCTATGCACACAAAGCACTTAGTAGTATCTGGTTTGGGGCCAGCCGAGCGGCGCGTTGGTTAAGAGCTGGCTTGGACGCCTGCTCTGAGCAGCAGGGCCCCTGTTCGGATCCCACATGAGGGCCAGTGACACTGCCCTCTACAGCTAAGATGGTGAACAACAGCTCGACCTGGAGATGGGCTGCCATGAGTAGCCAGCGACGGCGTAGGTTGCAGCCCCTGCTGCAGTGGGCTGCCATGAGCTACCGTGTGTAGCCAGCAGCCAGCGTGAGCGGCCAGCAGCCGGTATGAGCTGCCAAGAGCCGCCATGAGCAGCCGTCCAGAGGCCAGCAACCCATCTGCTTCACCCGGGAAGAGCGCAATGATAATACCAACATGGGCCAGTGAAGCGACATCCTCCACAACTAGGCTAAAGAACAAAGGTCAGCAACTTGTCTGATCCCCTTCCCCCGATTCCCCAGTGCTGTTCCCCTCCCTCATTCCCCAATAAAATCTTTTTTAAAAAAACAAAAACAGAAGTATCTGGTTTATTTTTTGTAATCTCTCAAAAAACAGAAGCTGCTATTCTTTTTGGAAGAGCACAGTCTTACCCTTCTATTTCCAGACTTGAACCGTTGAGGTGGGATGTGGAATCCCTGAGTGCTGAGAATCTGGCTCACTGCTCCAGATGTGAGTCACCCTGTAAATGTCGATTTATTTTTATTTAGAGCAGAGCTGAGGCTGCACAAGTGACTCAGGGCTAGAAGCCTTCCCAGGTTATCGTGACTTAACTGGCTGGGCTGGAAGGAAGTAATTTTGCCCTGAAGCTCTCCTTCCAGAAGGTGCAAGCATTCCAAGATTCAAAGACTACTCGGTACTCACTTGGAATGGGTGTTGCCCTGTTTCTCACCTTACTCCACACATGGTGGGGCTTGGAAAGGCCTGAGAAAAGTAGCTGAAACCACGAGACCTTGCTTATCCCGTATATCTTCCTCACTAGTCTGTATTGGTTTGTTCCTCCCCTGCAGCCTGATGTGAAATTCCTTCTTGGGAGTTGCAGCTTTGGGTCAACACGTCCACTCTCTCCCACTAATACACATTAATGTTAATGGATAGATTTAAAGGCAGATAATCTCGATAGGGGTGGGGTTGGGGGGGACAGTGTTAAAGGAAGCTGGGTAAAGTACATGAGCACTGGGTGTCCTAAAGAAGGTGATAGAGAGAGAAGGCAAAGGCAAGCCAGGGAGCATCTGCAGACTCTGGGCCTGTGCCCACGTCTTTCTTGAGAAGTGGTGTGCCCAGAGGCAAACAGGTGGTGGGAGAGGCAAGCCCTGCATCCAGGCTTGCTGATACCAACCTGTAACCCATCATCCAGCCAAGCTCCGCCTCTCCCTGAGTCACTGAAATGAAAAACCCTGGGGTTGGAAGGAGCTTTAGGGGCTACCAGTTTCTTTCTTGCCCACCATCTTGCAAGCCAGTCAGTGGCACAGCCAATTTATGCACCAGAGACTGTCCAGCTCCAAAGCTTGGACTCCTTTAGGGTCACAACCTCGAATGCTTCAGGGGCCAGATGACAATAAGGTTAAATGGTTGAGTGTAAGACAATAGGGGCAGGGGCTGTGAGGAACTGCAGGCTCTGCCCTAAGGCATTCAAATTCAAATTAAAAACAAACATTGAGCATGCCAAATAAAACATATCTAAGGCTTGAGTGAGTGGGTGAGGCCCTTAGGCTGGGAGGTTTTGACCCTGGCCTAAATAAATGGTCTTCCCTATCCCCCAACAAGGGAGATGTCTGTTGGATGCAGATCTCGAGTAATAGGCTTTGAGCTACCAAGGACTGTCTGGAAAGTGGTCCTGAGCAGGTCTTTGCTCCAACACTTCCAGCGATGAGGTGAGCCTTACTTCCCAAGGCAGCCTTGGATGGGGCCTACCTTCCCCCACTACTAGAGCCAGTTACTACACCTGCTTGCTGTGGACCATTGATGGGGGTTGGGGTGCCCAGGTAGGGACATATCTTTCATTTTGCAAACTTAAAGTTTGGGATTTTTTTTCATTATTACAAATAAAATACAAGCTCACTGCAGAAACACTGGGAAATACAGACAAGCAAAAATTAGACAAGAAAAAATATCCATACCTCCCCTAACCACTGTCCCCCATTCAAAGAAGCACGGTTGACATCCTTGGTGCATATTCAGACTTCAGGTACTTTTTTGCATAGGGAAAGCACTACTTCTGGGTCTGTAACCTGTAAACCCACCGAGGAGATGCACCACGTACCATACTGCTCCATCTGTGGAGATCTCATCAGACTCGGGTTTCAACACACAGGTCTGACCTGTGTAGGCCCTTGGCTGCCCAAGCTTTTCCAAGGCAGGCACTAGAACCTGTCTTACTCGTCCTCAGGGACTCTACAGCGCTGGGCACACAGTAAGTGCTCAATAAAAGTATTTCCAACCGTTCCCCCCACACACACACACTTGCCTTGGCCTCCAAGGCCTCGAGTGACGAGGAAACAAAACCTCGTCTAGGAGGGCGAGCGCCTGGCTGTCTCCAAGGTAACTGAAGTTTGAGGCTGGGAGTGCTAACGCATGCGCACACTCACTCTTCCTTCCCGTAACCTCCAGAAGAACGCAACTCGTAAAAAAAAAAAACCTGCCAGAAGCCGGGCGCGCATGTGTGGTTAGACCGAATCCCAGCCGCCTCCGCCTTCTGTCAATCCGTCTGCCCAGCAATGTCTTCACCATAAACATTACCCGGAAATTGTGCCCATTTCTGGAAACGAGGCCTCGCTATCCAATCGTTGCTAAGGGCGGGACGCGCCGGCTCATTGGTTAGATTGGAAGACTGGGCAAGGCCAAGGATCGAGGTGCGGCCAAAGCTAGGAGGCGCGAAGCGAGGCAAATTTGCAGCCGCCGGGGGAGGCGTGGCCCCAGGGCCGCCGGGAAGGCGATAAGGGGGCGGGGCTCGAGGCCGGGGCGTGGCGGCTGTGGGGCGGGGCGACCGTGGGGCGGGGCGACCGTGAGTCCCACACTCAGCGGTCGGCCACCGGCGGCGGGAGATCGTGGGCAAGGGGAGCGCGACAGTCGCTGTTTGGGGAGATCGGCGCTTGGCCGGTAGGTGACTGGGCGGGTGGGGTCCCGAGGCTCGGAGCAGGGAGCACCAGGGATGGGTCGCCCCTCAGACCCGGGACGGTCTGCGGCCTGGCCCGCAGCCCCGGAATAGTGGTGGTCGGCAGCGCGGCTGGTCGGACCCACTCGCGCGCGGGCCTTCGGCCCTGGCGGCCGGCTGCCGGCGCTCCCTCACTCACTCTGCCAGGGCCACGGTCGCACGCCGTGCTCGCCCCGCACCCCCACAGGCGACACACTCGCCCGAAGCGCGCGCGGGGGCGCCCTGCTTCCCTTTCCCCAACACCCCGCGCTCAGCTGCCCCCACCGCCAGGCCTGCCCATCCTGTTGCGTTCCCTGGGTTCCCTTAGGATGGGGGCTCGCCTCGGCACCGGGCAGAAGGTGTCTGATGCACAAGTGCGCGCTGTCCGTGCGTCCTCCCACCTGCCCTGGCAGTGAAACCCTCTGGCCTTCCCTGGGAAGTTCTTGGGTCACACACCCCGAGGCGGGGAGAAGGAGCAGAGCTTGCCCTTGGCATTCAGAGGAGCAGGGCTGGCCGCTCGCAACATCCTCCTCCTTCCCCTGACTCCTCTTTAATTCTTATGTCCGCTCCACTCCGTACTTTATCTGTCGGCTCAGATGTAGTATTCTCTTCTTGGAAGCCCATCATGGCCCCTGGCAACCTGCAGCCACCGGGCACCAAGCAGAAAGAAGCCACTTGTACAGTGCAGAGTCCCACCTGCCCAGAAGCCTCCTTGGTGCTGGGTAACTTCAGTAAAAGCGTTTCCTTCCTTATTAAAGTTAAATGTTGCTCTCAGTCCTAAAGAATGAACTGGAAAATGAATATGGGAAGAGAGGGGAGGATGAATGGAGAAAAGGTACAGAAATCAGTGGTGTAAATGGCAAAATCACTTTTGCTAACTGGAAACAGCGAACACCAGTGACTTGATTAAGAACTCTAAAAGCAAGTGAAGTGAAATGATGAGAGGTGGGGTTTAACACAAAATAGCAGTCTGAAGTTTATTCCAGGAAAAATGTTGAAAACCCCTTGACTAGAAACATGGTCGTTCTGAAACATTAGAGGGAGATAGTATCTTAACATTAGTGATGTGTTTTTTACTAAGTATCTTAGCATCTTCATACCTGTAACCTCCTTTTTCCTTTAGACGTCTGTGTGATAAGATAGAATTGTCCTGTTTTACAGATGAGGCATCTGAGGCTGGGGGGGAGGAGGGGGTATATATCTTGCCTAAAGCCTCAGAGCTAGGACTCAGGGTGAGGACTTGAGGCTGGGCCCCTGGAATCTTCCTCAGGCTCCTTCCCTGGGACCAGGACCACATTCTGGGACTTAGATGCAGGAAGGAGGGAGTAGTGTTTGGTGTAGTATTTATGCTCTTAACGTGAGAGGACAGGTGCTTGTCTTACTTACTATGTGTTCGGATTTACTCTTGGTGTTTTTTAAGTGATGTCAAAGTCAGTTCCTTTAGTGCAGCGATGCCAGACCTCTGAGTTTCTCAGAGACACCTTTAGGACATCCTCATTTATTTTGAAGGGTGTGGTGAATTTCTCAGAAGGTCTCAAAATAAAAATAATAGTCTCTGATTTTCACTTGAGAAATCTGTACTCAGGTATATGTCCCAGCACTTTTGTGAAATCAATAAGTTGCCAAGCTTTAGGTCATCTTCTGACTGTTCAGATTATAAGGAGCAGTTCTGAAGGGTGGGGGTTTTTTTGGTTTGGTTTTTTTTTTTGGCCCCTGATATTGTCTGTTAGAGTTTGTGGGAGCAGCACCACAGACAAGAGACCTTGCCAAGTGAGTCTTCATCTATTTAACAAAAATGTCTGGTTGGCCGTTTCGCTTCAACAGATGGAGGTTTCTTCCTCATTTGGGTTCTCCTGTTGAACACTGACTTCTTTGTGATCTGCTTGGAGTGTTTGTATATCATTTAATGTTGAGAAGCAGCCTTGCCCTGATTGGTCGTCCAACTCCAGGGAACTGTTGTGATTTTTTTTGGTGCATGATAACAGTTCATCCTGGCCAGGGTCTGGTGAGAGATCTATAGAGATGTGAATGAGGTAAAGCTTCCTCCAGGGTTGTTTTCTTCATTGTTGGCACCCTCTTAAGAGTGTCTTATCACTGTGGCCTGTGAAGTCACTCTGAATTTCCTATTTTTTTTCCTGTCTCAATGGACAGCACATGAGCTTTCCTAGCAGGTCTGCCTGACATGATGAAGAGCTGACAGATTCATGTTGGTTGACCTGACAGATGTTCTTTCTGGGAGGATAGTTAGGAAATCTTAAAACCAAATTCAGTCCTAAATTAAAAGTAGAAGTCAGCTTGATATACTTACAGGCAGCATATTTATACCAATGACTTCCATCATCTCAAAGCTGTTTTTTTTTTCCTGGCAAAGGGTTAAAATGCAACTAAAATTCTGCTTTCATGATTAATAAGTCACTACCGCAGTTGTGTCTGATGCTTCCTGTTTGCCCCATTTTAGTATTTCAGTTAAACTGGAAACATCTGAGCATTATGGGCACTTTTGATGGCACCGATGTGAAATTGGCGGGAAGAGGGACAATTCCATGTCAGTGGATTTGGGGATCAGTCAGCCCCTCTGGCCTCTGCACACAGAGATCTGTAGGAAAGGAAAGGAATAGGGGTGAGCATCTTCAAGGGGGAGGGTGAGCATTCAAAGTGATGCACGTGTGAAGGCTTTGCACGTACTTGGTGATGCTGACTGAAATGTCGAAAAGCAGTAGATGAGAAATGGAAGGCCAAACATAGGGCAAATTGTGTTAGCAGAACATTTCAGTTGAGCTGAGCGAGACATTGAAGTATGCCGGATATGGGATCCTTAATTGTGGGCTTGTCTTACTACCTGAGTAACAATGCAGAGAAAAGTCATTTTTCCTCAGTGGCCTGCGCACCCTTCTTTGTATTCTAATTTAAAGGATTCTCTTCCCTTCTTGCTATTTTATATCCTTTAATCCCTTGTCCTCCTGACATAAATCCCTTGAAATTATATGGCATGAAGAGTGATGGTACTTTGTATCGTGTTTCCCCGAAAATAAGACCGGGTCTTATATTAATTTTTGCTCCAACAATCTACATTTATTCATTTACTCATGTACAAAAATCTACATTTATTCAAACAGTCATGACTGGCTGACAATCTTAACTGGGGCTTATGTTTGGGGTAGGGCTTATAGTACGAGCATCCTGAAAAATCATGCCAGGGCTTATTTTCCAGTTAGGTCTTCTTTTTGGGGAAACACGGTAGCTATTTTTTGTATTTTCTCACAAATACGCATACAAAGAGAGACAAGGACAAAGATCAGGAAATGGAAGCCTCACAGGAGAAGTAAAGTGGATTAGATAACTCAGGAAATCAGTGTCATGCCCAGAACCTAAACCCACGTTTCTTAACATCTAGTTCACTGCTTTCTCTACTAAGTTACTCATGAAAGAATAAGTTGGTTTTTTTCCCCCCAAAAAAATGTCAGTTTTGAAACCAGGGTAGCTGCTTTATCTGTCTATCTATCTATGTATCTATCTATTTATATTAACAAGTATTACTATTAATAAATGTCATTAATGATTATTGATATCCATTATTCATAATACTTATTAATAAAAGGCTGAAAGATGAATAGCACATCCTCTCTATGGGTCTGCTCATCCCCATTTTACAAATGCAGAAATTAAGGCAGAATGGTGAAGTGATTTGCCCAGAGCAGTAGAGCAAGTCCATGGTGTCTCCATGTCACACGTGGAGATTCAGGTTGTCAGCTCAGACAGACCTGGGTCAGGTTCAGGTCTGCCATTGTCTGCCTGTGTGACCTCCGGCAAATCACTTCACTTTTGTAAGCATCGGGTGCCTCATCTGTAAATGGGATCAGAAACACTTCATGGGGTTCTTTTGAGTAGGAAATGAGAGGATATCTGTAAAGTTCTAAGCTCAGTGCCTGGCACATGATCAGCCACAGAACACGACAGCTGTTGTTGTTTGGTTGTAAAGGTTGTTGGTAGTAATAGTAGTAGTAAGAGCAGTATAGCCATTGCCAATTACCACATTGACTAGACCTGTTTTCTGTAAGATGATGTCAGGACAGCTCAGACTGCCTCACGGGGCAGAGTCATTTTCTCAGTAGGACCTCCAGGGGGACATTTCTTCTGTCAGGATGTTTTAGCTGTCAAGTTCCCCCTGTGTTACACTCAACACTGGCCTCACCACCCTCCACATGAGCCTGAAAGGGCCCAGGCTCTGCCTGGTGAGAGTTGGTAACCCTAAACCGCCGGCACCCTTGGCCCTCTCAGGACTCTGAGTCAGAAGCAGAGCTGAGCCTGTCTTGTGTCCTCCATGTGGTGAACTGGGTCCCAAGCTCAACTCTGGAGGTGAGAACAAGGAAAACACGGTGTAGAAGATAAGTCCACAAGGACTTGTTCCTCTTTGTTTAGAGACTACGAGGGACATTTTGGTTGTGTGGCGTAGGGTTCCCACCACCACGTGGCACCCCCAGCTCACCATCATTTCCTCTGATAAATATGTCTTTGTCAACTTATCACCAGTACCACGTCTGGGGCCCTGGATCCGTAGTCAGGGATTTGCAGAGTCCCCTTTAAATCACCGAAGCGGGGAAGAAACGGTTTTACATTACATTCTAAATTATTTTTCCCCTTTTTAATACAAAACAACAATATAGGCTCCCACCAGACTGATGTTCCCTTTAAATAACATTTTGTTTTCTCTTGGGGAAGCTGTCTCGATGGCCAAAGAGTCATTTCTAAAGTGAACCTAGTTTTTAGAAAAAATAGATCACCGGATGTCAAGCATCATGTTCAGATGAAAATGAAACCACCAGGCCTGGAGTGGCAGCTCCACACTTAACTTGAGGCTGGAGGTGAGAGGTAGAGTGTGTCTGGACCCAGCTCAGTAGCTGGTTGGCCCCACAGTCTTTATTTGATAGGCACCTCGTCATTTTCCAGGCAGCTTTGCTTAGGTGAG